GGGACATCAGTGGCGATGAGAAGCATGACAAGATCCGTCTTCCTGTTCGCTACCGCTACAGATCCCCAGTCTTCTTCGAGTTTTACCCTCCCGGCAAGCGTCATGCCGACGCCTTTGCGTCACTGTGGCTCCAGGACTTCCCGGATTGCGAGGAACGCGACTTTGATATTCCCATCTTCAACTGCGACAAGGGTCTGCGCCTGTCACAGAACTATATCACCCAGGACAACTTCAAAGACATCCCTGACATGAAGATTGAAGAAATTGGTCGACTTAGATTCAAGGGTCGTTTCTCCACTGGTACCGATGGTGATCACGTCAAGTTTGTCACTGACAACGATTCGCGTGAGACAATCGAGACCTGGGAGGCCTGTTTCGCGGAGGGAGTACGAGGCGAGGAGGTCCGAGCCGAAGTGCCCCCTGCTGTTCAGAAGCTGCATGATGAGTCTCTTACCCAAGGCCGCGATGTCCTAGCTCAGACCGACCCGAATGAGAAAGAGAAGTGGCTCTCCAAGGACGGAACCGATTGGAGCACTGCCTTTGGAAAAGATCCCACGCAGATGATGGGTGGCGATAACGAGAATCAGGAAGACCTGAACTCGGAGGGACGTGATGATTTTGATACGGATTACGACGATGATGATAACAGCAGTGAGCCGGATCTCGGGCTCACAGACGCCAGCACTAAAGACACCAGAGCGAGTAGCAACGGCACACGTCAGTCAACAGACAGCAACGCGAGTGCGGCTCCCTCAGACGCATCTCAGCAAAGCAACGGAAACGGACCTGTTGCCGCCTACAAGGACTACAAGAGCAGGAGCAGAGACCTGCACCGTCAACATCGGGGTCTGATGCAGTGGCGTCCGATGCGTAATGTGCAGTTCGCCAAGGACGAGGCCAAGTTTGCGATCCGGAAGATTACCAAGATGGGTGCTCTCAACGGTCGCAAGCCCGATGTCGAGACCGAAGTCTAAGTCCGTTCTTTTTGTCGAGAGAAGAGGAACATGGGGGCACGCGACAACGGCTGGGGTTACAGGAAACAGGGTACAGTCCGTTTTTTTTTCTGACAGCCTTGGTAATGTTTATGAAGTATACCTACATGAAATAAATTGCGATGAATGGGAGGAAGGCGTTTGGAGGTGTATCAGTAGTCAAAGCAGGCAAATAATAGGTTTGAACAATTCTCGACCGTGACTATGTGTAAGTCATGTCTCCGGAAGAACGTTTCGAAAAAGTCGAGTCATCAGTAGGCCAATCTACCCGCGTCCATTGTGGTCTATCTAACAGAGTCTAGAGGCTTTCTTCTTTATCACTCACGTCTGTCTTCCCCTTTCCACGTCCACCGAACCCCCATCCAATCTGGTTCGCCATCTTGACATTGACCCCAAGCTCATCGGCATACGCATACACCAGACCGGGGTTCTTCTGGAACCACCGACCGCACATGATCACATCCAACCCCTCCTGAAGGAACCCCTCCGCCATGGTCCCCGTACTGATCCCACCCACAGCCGACACAAGCATCCTCTCCCCGACAACCTTTTTAATCTCCTTTGCGAAATCGGCCTGGTACCCGGGTCCGCCCTTGATGCTCGTCGCCTGCAGCGGATGAATCCCGCCGGAGCTCACGTCCAGCAGGTCGACGCCCCGCTCCGCGAGCAGAGGCGCCAGCCTGCACGAGTCGGCGAGCGTCCAGCTGCGCGGGACGAGGTCTGTCCTGTCGTCGAACCAATCCGTCGCGCTGACGCGGACGAAGAGCGGCATCGTGTCCGGGATCGCGGCGCGGACGAGGGAGGTGATCTCGAGGACCAGACGGGTGCGGGTTTCGAAGGAGGAGGAGCCGTAGGCGTCGGTGCGGGCGTTGGCGATCGGGCTGAGGAATTGGTGGAGGAGGTAGCCGTGCGCGGCGTGGATTTCGACGACGTCGAAGCCGGCGTGGACTGCGCGGCGGGCGGCGGCGACGAAGGCTTGTTTGAGGGATTCGATTTGCGGGAGGGTCAGTTCCTTGGGGAGGGGGTATGCGTCGTTGAAGCGGAGGGGGGAAGGGGCGTAGACTTCGTCCGGCCAGCCGTGCGCTTCGGGGGGGGAGGTCGCGTTGGCGTGGACGAAGGGGGCTACGGTGCTCGCCTTGCGGCCTGCGTGGGAGAGCTGGATGCCGATCTTTTGGGACTGGGAGCGGGCGAAGTCGGTGATGCGGCGGAGGGGCGGGATCTGGGCGTCGGACCAGAGGCCTAGGTCTTGCGGGGTGATGCGGCCTTCCGGGAGGACGGCGGTGGATTCCATCAGGGTCAGGCCGGGCCCGCGTTGGAGGATGCCGCCCAGGTGGGTGAGGTGCCAGTCTGTTGCTAGGTTTCCGGCTAGGGGCGAGGCGGAGTATTGGCAGAGGGGGGCGAGGAAGAGGCGGTTTTGGAGAGTGAGGGAGCGGATTTGGAGGGGGGTGAAGAGTTTTGGGAGGAGGGTTGTGGTGGTTGTGGTGGAAGGGAGGATGGCTGTTCCGGAGGGGGGAGATTGGGATGGGGTGTAGTAGGGTGCGTTCTTTGCTGCTGGGTTTTGGATGAGTTCGAGGGGGAGAGGGGTTGGTGATTTGGTGGCGTGGGAGGTCATCTTGAGAGCTGGGTTTGGATGTTTGGAGGTGAGGGTGTAAGATGAGGTTGGATGGCGGGATAAGGGGACCTATTGGAATGGAAATGAGAAGTTGGCACTTTTATACTGAATAGCGAATTCGATTCAACTTCAAATACTTCATCTTGGACTTGGTAGATCGTGTGTCTTGTCAGCACCGTGTGCTACCAAGGTCTGTTGCCGACATCTTCTCGGCGCGTGTCGTTGATGGCCGAGTGGTCCGGCCCGTACTGTGGGGCTTCGGCCGTTTGATCCGTGGTGTCAACGGGCCGGGCACGATTCGGTGCGCACCGGAGCACCGTGAACCATCAAGTGAAGGTCTTCCTTCGGGAACTACTTCCGCTAGGTAAGGAGGATTCTACTTGGTAGCCTCTGAAGAGAGGCCGAGAAGATTGGCTTGGCGGCTATGAGAATCTGTTGATGGTGTTCGGCACCGGACATGATTCACCGTCGGCCAGATGGCTCATCTTGCCGAGGGTTGATTCTGTAAGCTCGGTTTTTGCGATTTGACGTAAGCAAGACTCAAATTGCAAGCTAGATACCTCAAGCACAGAGATACTTATTTGAGATTCCTTGGATTCGAGAAAAAAAGTATGCTGATTACTTTACGCCTACTTGGCCACAGTCTTGTAGATGGAGTTATACCCACAAAGCGACTCCTCCTCCAGCGTCGCAAAATCCCGCCCAGCAAATCTCTCCGGCTCGAGGGCCTCCAACGTCTCCTGGTCTACCCCCTCCCCATTCAAAAGTTCCATCAAAAACTTGGCCGTCCCAGCAGCGTGAGTAACCCACACAGCAACAGCCATGTGCAACCCAGGCACCGACCTCACCGCGCCAGCGAGCGGCATGTTATCAGGCGTCATGGAGAAGATCCCGTTGAAGCTCCTGCTCTTAGTCTGATCCTCACTCACATCCTCCTCAAACTCCGCCGCGGTCGCGGGAGGTAGCATCTTCCTAGCAGCCTCGAGCGTCTGCCGGAAATCAGGGATCCAGACCCCGATCGCCGTCCCGTCTTCCGCGTTCGGCGCGCAGCCTACGGGCGGGTGGTCGTAGCTTCCGATGCCGTAGCGGGTGCCGTGGTCTCTGGCGTAGACGTGGTGTTCCGGCCAGCGCACGAACGGCAGCGACGTCGATTTCGATTCCGGGTTTGAGTTTTCTCGGGGAGGCAAGGGGGCTCGGGTGCGGGCGTGCATGTAGGGGTGTCCGACGGGGATGACGGGGACGGGGAAGGGGAGGTCGCGGCAGAGGTGGCGGGCCCAGATGCCCGTTGTGAGAATGACTTTATCGGCTTCGAGTTGCTGTGCGGAGCCGAGGTCGAGGACCTGGACGCCCGTGATGCGGCCCTCTGGTGTGAAGAGGAGCTTCTCGACGGAGCCTTGTAGGAAGTTGACGCCTGCTTTCTTTGCAGAGTCTTGGTAGAATGATGTGATTCTGCATGCGTCGGCGGTCCCGTCGGTGGGGAAGAAGACTGCAGCCCCTGCCCCCGACGAATCTTTTCCGTCTTCTTCTCTGACGAGTTCCGGCGCGAGTGTGTGTGCTTCTCCCAGGCTCAACATCTCGGCGGCTAGGCCGCGCTGTGAGGCGGCTGCGCACCTGGCCTTGAGACGCTCGCACCCTGCGGGCTGGAGGGCGATTTCTAGGCCGCCGACGGTGTCGAAGCCGCCGGGGATTTTGGTGTATTCTGATACGGAGTCGATGGCTAGTTTGGTGAGGACTGGGGACTCGTTGAATTGGCCGACGAAGCCCGGTGCGTGACCTGTTGAGCCGAGGAGGGGACCGAAGGAGCGGTCGATGAGAGTGATTGTTCGTGGAGTGTTTGATGAGGATGATGATGAGGAGGAGAGGAAGTGGGCTAGAGCGGAGCCGACGATGCCTGCGCCGACTATGATGATGGTTTCGTGAGATTCAGACATATTTGTTTGAGGATTGGGTGCTGGGTACTGGGTTGAATGTGCTTGAGGATGATGTTGTGTGGTACTATTCGAAGAGCCCTTGGGAAAATGATGGGATTATATACTTTTGGTCTCGGATTGAGTACATCCCATGTTGTCATATCATTTTCGCAGTATTCAATGGGCGAAGTCTTTACATGTCTCCCATTGATTCGGGAACCAAGACTCAAGACTTCCATGTTTGGACAAGGGCGACGGCTTTGACCAATCACATGAAGAGTTCCTCACTCACTTACACCACGAAGCTGAGACCCGCAAGCTTGTCGACACGCCTTTGGATGTGGGATTCAGACAATGTGGTCTAGCGAGGTGGGGCAAACTACACGCTACAAACCAACCATCCAAAGCAAATTGAGGAAATGTATTTCAAGAACTGATCCATATGTAGGTATGTTTGAAGAAGCAGAAACTCCCTAGGGAATGCTATCACGACAACTCAGCAGGCCGGTTGCCCTCCACTTCCGCAGCTCTCGTATAAGCCGAAAGCTCAACGGGAGGCGGCGTGGCAGCGTCGACTTCCGTCATCTCTGTTCCGTGGCCGGGTAACTCTTGCTTCGCATCGTACCCAAACCCTTTCTGCCCATATCCTTCATTGCCCGTATTCCCCTCATTCTGCGCGGCAATGACGGCCGCAGCCCTCTTTTGCTTCCGCTTCCGAAGGCATATGAGTAACCCGGCACCGAGCAGCAAGAGAACCAGCACCACCGCTCCAACCGCGATCCCCGCAATAGCACCAATCGAAAGACCTGCCTCTCCAGCAACACCAGAGGCCTGGGAGGAGGGAACACGACCGTAGAGCGGAAAGACGGGGTGTTTGACCGAGAGGGGTCCCCCGGCAACACTGGGGAGACCGGTGAGGGAGATTTTCCTCCACGAGCTCCAGAGCGTCGACTCCCGCCCGCCGCTCGTCGCGACATTGTTGATCCAGATCTCCGTGTTCGTGCTCAGGAGACTGACGCAGTCCCGGTAGGGCGTCCCGCCCGGCGTGGGCACGAGGCAGGTGTACGAGCTCGGGCAGCACCACGTCTGGGTGTACGTCTGCGCGCTCTCGAGGGTCAGGGTTGTCTCGCACGCTGTCGTCCAGCCGGAGATGCAGGCTGTGCCTGGGTAGGCTACGCTTGCGACGTCGCCTAATTCATCGTCTTGTCAGCGTTGTTTCAGTGCTTTTTTCACAATTTCATGATTCTCACTGAATGTATTCCCGGATGGTCGCCAGATTGCGGCGTAACTCTCGGGAAAGCATTGCGTTGGCAGGCTGGCTGTGGTCTCGGCCACGACTTGGTCTCGCAGGCACTCGACGTCCCCCGTGAGATCTTCCATCTTGCCCACAAGGCAGCGAATGTCGACGGGAGAGCAGAGGTCGTTGGGTGGTGTGAAGGGGGTTGTCTGCGGTGCCATAGAGAGGATCTTGGTCTGCTGGAAGCCGCCCGGTGTGAAGGTGAGTGTTACGAGCAGAGGCTCGTACGTCGTTTTTGAGGCCATCGCGAGGTATCTGCCTAATGTTTGCTCGCTTGGTCGTAAAGGAGTCTGCTTCTTTCTTTTTGCCTTGACCGCACAGGTTGGGGTGAAGGAACACAGAGGGTTCCAAAATTTTCTGCTTGGTTTGTGGGTGCTGGAGAGTATTGGTATCTTTGATGTAAGTGAATTTGCTGGTGGCTCAGTGTCCTCGTGGCAAAACTGTTTCCCATCACACAAGGCTTACTCTGCCCTCTGTTTGGAGAAGTTGGTCCTGATTTTGGCCGCGCATATCGCTCAGCCTGCTTACGGCCAAGGACCATAGTTATCTAGTTGCATATGTTGTGTCTCCATTACGATAGGCCGAACCTTTCAAAGTGTGGGACAAACTAGTCTGATATTATCAGTCTCTGCCGTGACCAACATGACCACGGCTGCCTCAATATAGGACTTCAGTCATGTAATTCGGAGCGCACCAAGATCGTGCACACGCAAGATGTGCTCCAATGCTATGAAACTAACTATCACAAAGTCTAAATTGATTAAAGGTGCTCGACCAAAAACGAGACAAGTCCAAATAAGACAGCATTTGCTATGAGACTGACTCTAAGACTATTGCATTCTTACTGTACTCTACCAGAGAATGTCTACGTCTATATTGGAGCAGAGAAAATCCTTCAACGGGTCAGGGGGCGCCGGATCATTTGCCAAGCTCCTCTGGAACTCAGTCCTCAACTTGGTCATTGGCTGTAATACCCAGGTGTTGAACGACAAAATGTCTGATTCCTCCTTTGGGTCTCTGACGGTGTTAAACAAGTAAGGCGACTCGAGCCGACCCGACGACTGATTGACTTTGGGTTCCCAGACGAGATGCAGCTTCCAGTCCTTCCATTTGATCGCTCGCAGCTCTTCTTTGATGTAAAACAAGAAACCCAGCCTCTCGGATCTGACGCTGGCCGGGTCCTTGAAGAAGATTGTCTGATCGATGCCGTCGATGGGGCGGTCGTCTGGAACTCTAGACTTGGTGACGGACAAAATTGTTGTGAAAATGTCCGTTACGTGAACGATCTCGTTGGACGTGACGCCTTCTGGGACGTGACGCGGCCACCGTATGATGAAGGGCACGCGCAGGCTGCCTTCCATGGCAGTGTGGTATGTCCCCGACCACGGCCCCGCCGTGCCCCTGTACGGCTCCCTGAACTCGGGACCGTTGTCGGAGGCAAAGATGACAACTGTATCTTCCCGAATTCCGAGGGAGTCAATGTGGTCAAGGATTTGGCCTACGTGGTGATCCATCTCCGTCATGGAGTCGGCAAAGTCGCCTTGTTTGGTAGTTCCCGCAAAGTCCTTGTGAGGCAGCGTCGGGAAGTGAAGGTGGACGAGAGGGTGGTAGAGGAAGAATGGCCGTTCAGCCGCAACTTGACGAGACAGCCAGTCTTTAGATTTCTCCACCAGCATCTCGTCGATGAGTCTCCTGGCCTCCAAGTCGTAGACGCGCACATTCTCTGACATTTGCCCAGCAACTCCCTTCATGATGTACGGCATCTCCGCCACTTCGGGAGTATACCCAATCGCAGACGTAAACTGCGTCTCATCCGTCGTCCGCGGGATCCCAAACCACTCGTCAAAGCCTCTGTCCGAAGGGTACCGACCGGGGACATCTCCCAGATGCCACTTCCCGTGGTGCGCAGTAGCATAGTCGTTCTCCTTGAGACACTCAGCCAGCGTCCGCTCCCACGGAGTCAGACCCTGCGGGAACCCCGCGGGGACGGATTGTCGGCAGCCGGTCCGGATCGGGTGCCGGCCCGTCATCAGCGCGGAGCGGGTTGGCACGCAGTCGCTCTCCACGTTGAAGTTGTGCAGCAGGAGACCTTGCGTCGCGAGCTTGTCGATCCGGGGCGTTGCGGCGCCGCGGAGGGCGCCACCGCCGTAACAACCCAATTCACCCCAGCCGAGGTTGTCGGCTAGGATCAGGACGACGTTTGGACGATCTGGGTCTCGAGACATGATGTATGTGCAAAAGATGAAGGATTCGAGCGGAAAGGGTTTGCCTGCAGACAAGAGTTAGGAGGAAGGTATCGATGTTGAGCCCCACGTTCGTCTGATTCGCGGGTTGCGTATCATCACGCCATAGACGGAGGTGACCTCCGTCTGCAAACCTCCGTCTGCAACTTCATATGACAACAACCTTTTGAGACGCCAACGACGACCCTTAATTGTATCGACTGTAACGCAACATTTCAACGTGATGTTTCTTCTCGCGACGAACATGTTCACAGATAAACTTAACTCGCGTCATATGATGAAACTTACCGAAAGACACTTACTACAGTTTGATACGATGGAAAGGAAGGGATCGAATCGTTGTACTAGTCCAAAACCATTGCATTTCACTTTCCTACTTGAATTCTATAGTCTCAACCGATGAGACAACCATTCGCTTAGACGCTGTACCATCCTTCCATGCCCCGTGCTACTGCTACTCATTCCGTAGCCCGTGAATATTGGTACAGAAAGAGGTATACTTCTACAAAGTCAGTATGTAATCAAAAACATTGAGCAAGTATAGAAACCTACTTAAACGCAAACGCAGTTGTATCTAGGGTCAAGGTTGAGACCGCAAACGCAACCGCCAACTCCTCCCAAGATGTTTGTGCACCGATCGCCTGCCTTTGGGCACTGCTGCCAATTCTGGCGCTTGACGGCGGGTTGCTCTGATGCAGGCGCGGCCGAGACCAATCCGGCAACGAGGGCTACGGCTCCGAAGAGAGTTGAGAACTGCATTGTGGTGTAAGTTGAGGAGGTTTAACGAGAGGACAGTAGAGATGAGTTATGTCTGAATTATGGAACTGAGATCTATCAGGTAAGTGTAGTACCATGCGGGTGCAGCAACGACGCTTTATGAAGACACCATCCTACCGTCGGTGTCCTCGGAATACGATGATACGAATGTCTCGGGGACTTAAGGCACATGGCCCTTGAGGCAAGGGGAAGATCACGACTGCCAGGTAGATAATTGCCGGGCTGGCCCACGAGGGAAGTTAAGCCACGAACTACGACTCATTCAACCGCCAGATGTGGATAGACATTCGAGAAATATTTAATTAACTTTGGCCTACATTGACAAAAGATGGGTCCGGCTTTCGAATCCCGAACAGTGAGATTCATAAACTAGAACTTGTCAAAAGGCTTAGTTTGGTTAGTTACGCTTTCATGTAAACCGAATCAACGTCTAGGCCATTGAAACTGAGAACCGAAAGCTTGGCAGGTCGAGCAGTTGTGAATAAGTAGGAACTCGGATAGCTCACCTATATCGTATGCAACTGGCCATGAGACACCTTCCCTCACGAGTCACGACATACGATGATAATGTCCAAGATTGGGAGGGAACAATCGCTTGATTAAGTTTGCACACGGGATTACTGAAAGGGCCGGCGGGATACGGAATAGGCGTGATGAAGATATGAAATGCCGGTGGGAGGAGAGGTGGGAACCCGGCACGGGGAAGGACGGCAATTCTTGTCTTGTAAATCGGGCTTCGCCGCTTACGTACTTTCTACACGAAGCGATGCCCGATCAATCTCTCCCATCTACAGTCTTGGAACGGGAAACAAGGAGGAGTCTTCAAGATGATTGCGTTCTGGTTTGTGGACCCGTAGTAAAGAATCCGAAAGTACGAGAGTATACGAATACCCAAGGTAGCAAATACGGTTATAGCAGCTATAAAGGCCGACGGAATCACTACCAACCGAGGGACGACGCCCAGGTAACTGGTGAGAACTTTCGCAATAATCCCATCCTGTTGTACGCGCGTAAGTATGTGTCAGTTGTGTAGCTTATATCAAGGACTCTCTATTGGAGAGACCCTAGATACATCCAATTTGAAATACGGTTGTTGAAAACATGAGAAACGAAGTACTCATGGTCCATGGAGACTGCAATTGCCATTCCTGAGCTCGCAACCTGCTGACGGCGATTGTGGGGGATTTCAACGTTGGAATCCACCACCGTTAGAGGACCGTGCGAGACGTGCAAACTTTGGGCCAAAGCTGTCTTCCGACACAGTACGTACACTTGTTAAGCGAGTCTTATCGGGGGCGGGGTGGTTCGATAAGGATTTTTTTGCGCCAGGAAAAATTTGGGACACTGAGAGGACGGGATCTTCGACCACACCGGCTATGACTTGCATCGTCTCTCCCACAGTTGGTCCCCGACGGAATTGGAATACGACAAGCACAATGTCGACTCCAACTCTTGCCGAGAAGCTGGACAAGATCCGCTCCCCGGGTCTTCAAAGTCAAAAGAGGGTAAGCTTTACCGAATGTTTTCAGTTTGGCTGTTTTCCTTACTAACATGGTTCAAGACTGCCGTAGTCCTCGAGGCGGTCGACACAACACTGAAGGAGCAAAACGCCCAGCCCACACCGACTGGCTACTTCGCCGCCCTTCTCGGCCTCCTCACCCAAGCTGTAGAGAGCGGCAACATCAGCTCCGACACGACGACCTCCGTGGTCTACCTTCTCGATATCGTCACCCCGTTTGCGCCTCAACCTATCCTTCGCGCCAAGTTCACCCAGATCCTCACCTCGCTCGCACCCGTTCTCCTGCAACAAGATGCCGAAGCCCTCCTCCTTCGCTCGTCTATCGGATGCCTCGAGTCTCTTCTTCTCGCACAAGATGCGAGTGCTTGGGAGCTGGGCGTGACCCAGATCGGCCCCCGCAGAGCCGTCGCCGGTCTGCTCAACCTCGCTCTCGAGCAGCGCCCGAAAATCCGCAAGAGGGCTCAGGAAGCGCTCCGAAACGTCCTCAAGAACCCGCCCCCGAGCCCCTCACTCGATCACCCGGCTGCGGATATGTGCGCTCACACCGCTCTCGCTAACCTCGAGGATATTGCTGGAAAGGCCGCGGCGGCAAAGAAGCAGAAAGGAGCCGAGTCTGCCCACGATCCCGCTCTGATTCACGCTCTCCAGCTCATCAAGACCATTGCCTCTGCAAGTGGTGGTTGGCCCAGCAAGAAGATCGAGGCTCTGTGCGACCTACTCCTCGGAATCTCAAGATCCGGCAACGAGTACATGACGATGGCGACTTTTGAGATTTTTGAAATGATTTTCGAGGGTATGGCCGACGACGTCGCTTCGTCCAAGCTCCCACGACTGATGGAAATCATTTCGGAGCTGCGCCCTGCCGCAAACGACACGCAACTTATTCCGCCATGGCTGGCAATCCTCTCGAGGGGTTACGATGTCTCTGCACAACTCGACCCCGATGAAGTTTTCCAGAACCTGCCCGAAATATTCTCAATGGTCGCCCAGTACCTCGAGTCCTCCGCACACAACATCCGGATTTCCGCTTCCGAGTGCTTAGTCTCATTTATGGCGAACTGTGTTCCGCAGCCGGTCATTCTGGAGCCATCAGTTTATGACGAGAAGACTTTGGACAAGATTGCCAAGATTGCAGAGTCTCTGCTCAGCCTCAAGTACCAACAAGCCTGGATGGAGAGTTTCAACGTCTTTGGAGCCATGTTTGACTCCTTGAGATGGCGGGCAAACCCCATGATGCTCAACATCACCAAGGCTGTTGGAGAGCTCCGTGGCAGTGACTCTTTCCAAGGCAAGAAGGAGGCCGACGAAGTCATTGGTAAGGCCATCCGCGCCATGGGCCCCGAGGCTGTTCTGTCCATCCTGCCCCTGAACATCGCGAAGCCCGCCAAGGGTCAACAGGGCCGCGCCTGGATGTTCCCCATCCTGCGTGACTACCTCAGCAACACCAACCTCGCGCACTTCCGTCAAGAGATGGTCCCACTTAGTGAGCTCATGTTCCAAAAGGTGCTTGATCACGGCAAGGCCGAGAAGACTTTGGAAGTCAAGATCTTCGAGACCCTTGTACAGCAAATTTGGGCCACCTTGCCCGGTTACTGCGATCTCCCGCTCGACGTTACCGACGCTTTCGATCAGTCATTCGCCGAGCTCCTGGCAAACATCCTGTACAAGCAGGTCGAGTTGCGTCTGGAGGTCTGCCGTGCGCTCAAGATTCTCATCGAATCCAACCAGGCTATTGCGACCATCGAGGATGACGACGAGGAAGATCTCGTTCTTCAAAGCCGCATCTCCAGGGCTACGGCGAGGAAGAACCTCGAGCACTTGGGTAGCTTTGCCGGAAACATGCTCGCCGTTCTCTTCAACGTCTACACCCAGACCCTTCCTCAGTCAAGAGGACCTATCCTCCTCACCATCAATGCTTTCCTCAGCGTCACCCCCAAGCAGGAGCTCATCGATACCTTTGACCGGGTCAGCAAGATGCTCGCAGCGGAACTGCAGCAGACTGCCGACCAGGAGAAGCCCAAACAACAACCCAAGCAGAATGCTATGCCCTCAACTAGCAACACCTTGATGGATCTGATCATCTGCATCGCACTCTACCTGCCTCGCGAAAGCTACACGGCTCTGTTCGAAATTGCCAATGTCATCATCTTCAGGGATAACGAGCCTCAGTTGCAGAAGAAGGCTTACAAGCTGGTTCCCCGCCTTACCGAGTCAGAAACCGGCAAGCAGGCCCTCGCTGCACGCAATGACGAGCTGCAGCAGATGTTCCTGTCCAGCGCCGAAAAGGTTTCCGCTCCCGCTCGCAGAGAACGCCTTGCCGCTCTCTCTGCCCTGCTGCCTTTCATCCCCGATACCTCACTCCACTTCATTCCCTCCATCCTTAGCGAAGTCGTCATTTGCTGCAAGGAGAACAACGAGCGCGCCAGAGAGGCTGCGTACGACCTCCTAGTGCAGATCGGTCACCGCATGGAATCTGCCAACGACGCCCCTATCGATAACAGCAAGATTCCTCATATGCCCGCAGACGCGCCCGCCGGTAAAGCCAACGTTGAGGAGTTTCTCACCATGGTCAGTGCCGGTCTCGTCGGCAGCACCCCTCACATGATCTCAGCGTCCATCACCGCCCTCAGCCGCGTGCTGTACGAGTTCAGAAGATCCGTCAGCACCCAGACCCTGGCCGACCTCGTGCAGACCATGGACCTCTTCCTGACCTCCAATAACCGCGAGATCGTCAAGAGCGTCCTGGGCTTCGTCAAGATCTGCGTCGTCAGTCTCCCCTCGGAGCTCGTCATCCCCCGCCTGTCCTCCATGGTCCCCAACCTCATCATCTGGAGCCACGAGCACAAGGGCCACTTCAAGAGCAAGGTCAGGCACATTCTGGAGCGCATGATCCGCAAGTTTGGCTTCGACCTCGTCAACCAGAACTGCCCAGAGAGCGACAGGAAGCTCATTGTCAACATCCGCAAGACCAAGGACCGCGCCAAGAAGAAGAAGGACGCGGCCAAGGCCGCCGGCGAGGAAAGCGACGAAGAGGACGGCCGCCAGGGACGCAAGTTCGACAACGAGCTCGACCAGGCCCTCTACAGCAGCGACTCGGACGATTCCGACGACGGGTCCGACGACGACGACGAAAGCGGTGCTGCGGCTGCCGGCGCCAAGGGCAAGCGCGGCAACAGAAAGGGCGGCAATACCTACATTGTCGAAGACGAGGACGAGCCGCTCGATCTGCTCGACCGCAATGCCCTGGCCAACATCTCGTCCACCAAGCCCGTCAAGATGCGCAAGCCGGGCCGGACCAAGGCCAAGACTGACCTGGACGGCAAGCTCATCCTCGGCAAGGACGACGACGAGGCGATGGAAGTCGACGGCGTTGAGAACGACGGCTCGGGCGTCAACGCCTACGTTGCCGCGCTCAAGGGCAAGGACGCCGGCAAGAGAGGTCTCCGCGGTAAGCTCAAGTTCAGCAACAAGCGCGGTCAGGACGATGAGGAGATGGAGGACATGGACGAGGGCGACGCCGCTGCCGTCAAGGCTCAGGTCGACAAGAGCCGTGGTGGTGGTAGACCGCCCTTCCGTGGCGGACGAGGTGGCCAGGACCGCGGTGGACGCGGAGGACGTGGTGGACGCGGCGGCGGTGGTGATCGTGGCGGTCGCGGTGGCAAGGGTGGTATTGCTGCCGGCCGCAAGGGACTCGGCGAGGATAGGAGACGGTCAGGTGGCCCGTCGGGCGGAGGTGTCAACAAGGGGAGAGGCGGCCGTGGACGGAGATGAGATCATTTTTGCGAAGGAGGGGGTTTTCTTTGAAGATTTAAAAGTGTGATTATACCCATTCAATGAGGTTAAAAGCGACCCCGAGTTGAAAAGGGAAAAAGAGGGTCTCTCAAACATTGTCATGTCGGCGTCTTGTCGGGTACGGTAAATAGAGAAAAAAGAAATTGACATTTACAAAGGAGCGATTGGTAATACATATTCTCATGCATAGTGGTGTCGTTAAACTGTCAATTGTCTAAAGCACCTTTGGTCATGATGGTTTTCTTGTTTTTTGTTACGTCTGGTCTCTGTTTGGACTCGGCCTCTTGCTTTCAAACCCAGACCAGGGGCTTTTCCCCAATCGTTATATGACATTGCATTCGAGGCCCTTTCTCTCTCTCTTTCACTTTGCTCGCAAAAAAAAGCACACATAAGAAAAAAACGTAATGAGGTTCCCGATGGGAGGGATCAAAGTACAGTCGTGGTAGAATCCTTATACAACCCAAAACTCCGGGCCCCGCACTCCTGACGGGGATAGTTGTTACTGCTGCTGCTGTTGCTGCGTTCCTTCATCTGAACTTGCTGTAAATGACGGCGATAATGAGAAGAACCAGGATGGTGATGATGGAAATCGTAATCACCCGGTTGGTAGCCATCCTTTGAGTATGTCAGTCTGGATCTCTCACCTCGTAGCTTTGAACAACCAAGGGTAGTAAGGGACGATATTTACCTACGTGCCATCCCCCGCAACGTCTTGACGCTACGGTCCACATATCCCTCGCTCTCGAGAAGGCGCGATTGGGTGTGCAGGATGGTTTCGCGCTGGGTGTGCAAATCGCCCAGGATACCAGCCCCGATGCCCTCCGTCTCGTTGGCGAGGGCCTGGCTGGCCTTGAGCCGCTGCGTGGAGCGGTCGAGGCGGTCCGTACCGGAGAGCAGCTGCTGGCGCTGCTCGAGCTGGACGTCCTGGCCGCTGCCCGAGGGGTTGTCGGTGTAGCGCGCGCCGAACAAGGCCGCGCGGTCGTCGGCGAGAGAGCGCAGCTTGCGCTTGTGGGCGTCGATGTCGGACTCGTGGTTGCGGAAGCGGGCGTTGATCTTGGAGCGGAGGGTGGTGGGGATGTTTGCCTTTTCGAGGCGCATCTGGGCGAGGAGCTCGTCGGCCTCCTCGAGGGCGCGCTCGGCGGAGGAGAGGGCGGCTTTGCGGGGCTCGCCTGAGAGTTCGGGGATCTGGTCGAGTTTCTGGACGAGGTCGGCTTGGACGAGCTTCAGCTCTGCTTCGTAGTCGCCGAAGCGCTCGGAGCCGGGCTCTGTTTCGAGTGGGTTGGACATGGTGGCGGCGGGATTGAGGAGGTGGAAAGGTTCGTTGGTCGGGTGGTTTTTAGAAAGTTGGCGGGAGATGCCCTTGGTGACCTTTCGCTTTCAGGAGGGCGATGAAGGGATGGAGTGAGAGGATGGGGGCACTCCTCGTCGAGAAGGCTGTAGGCGAGCTGTGAGAGTTTGGCTTCGTTGGGTATCACAAGATTGATGGTCGTCACTGCGGGTTCGTCGGGGTGGTAGTTGGATCAATGCCGAAAACGGTCAAGGGCGAGTGGATTGTTGGTCTTGATGAATGTACTTGGTCGCATGGAGTACGGAGGTGTATGCGTAAGTCAGGACCGGGCTTGGCGACATCATTCCTCCCGGGTGGCTGGTGCACCAATCGGATGCAACGAGACGCTGGGCTCCAGCCACTGGGCCTTGAGTGGACACACACTCATGAAGGTGTCGTGGTGCCTTACCTCAGCAAAGCCACTCTGTACTACAGCAGAATAAGTGAAGAGACACGTGATAGGCATGGCCCATGCGCCCGCTTTCCGCGTCCCCCACCCGCAGGCTGGTCTTTTTATGAGAAATCGGTCGGCGCAAAACTTCGTTTTCCTCTTCTTCTTTTTCTTCTTCAAAGTTGAAACCCCCGGCTCTAGAAGAAACCGGCTCCGCGTCGCCAGTCTGGAAATGCATTTATGTGTCTCTCGCACTTGGACGTGGAGTTGAACTTAAGCCGGGTAGACTGATGGCAGTTGAAAAACTGTCACGGCGCTTTTAAGAATTGGGGACTCGTACTACCGTTTTCCGATCCCGTTGAGTGCTCGACATACTTTCGTCGTCTACCATTGGCCTTGTGATAACTTGACACTACCTTAAATGGCCTACTAGGCTTAAACTGCACGCTTTTGGCCTGCTCTAAACTACTGCGCGCTGCCAAGTACAATCCGAGGTACTGTACCTTCGTACTTTTCTGTCCAGAGAGCCGTATCAAAGACCTCGTCTGTGAGATATTATGTGGCTCAAGCACATCCATAATCCACATGAATGATGCCTAGAAGCCATGGTTACTCGGTACGCCTCTGTCTGCCTTGCTCAGGTATTTCCGCAAGCAGCGCGTCAGCAGGTGAAAGCCTGAAGATGGTCCACGAGACAGCTTGCCATATCTTAAAACTGAGGTGCTGAATGGCAACAGATTTCAGGCTTCGGCTGCTGCACTCGTGAAGGCTTGGTGCCTGCCGGTTTTTGCAGTCCAATGCGTCTCATGTCCAGGTACCTTACATGAGCAACCTAATGTAATATTGCCCGAACCACGAAGACCTGCTTGACCGCGCGTCACAGCCTTCCATGTGATTGAATGCGTGTTCACGTGAGCCACGAGGTATCTTAAAGTAGCTCCGCGAAGAGATCGGGATGTCTGCCTAGCACAGAGTGCGTCTACTATGCCTTTGTGAAATAATACTCATGCACATTGACAGAAGAAGCTGAAGCCGTGTGAAAAGACCTCTCTCTGAGGACCAATTCTACGAAAAGCTCTGCGCGCAAGTCCATATTGCCCAGCGTCCGCGAGGTGAGGAAGGAAGTTTCTTCACGCAGACTACTCCTTCAACGAAAAGCGGCAAAATCACTAAAAGTTTGGGCGGTGACCAGCCATTTGTCGAAAATTTCAGCCGTCGTCGCCCACCGCAGGCAGCAAATCCCACCAAAAACCCACTCTAACGGCCCCTGGCCCGTGCGCCGAACCGGTCGTTGGAGAAATCTATATAAGGGCGACCTTCCACCGCGAATCTTAGACTTTTCTTCTTCTTTTTTCTTCATGTCGACAATACTTCAGAGAATCATTTCTATAGTATTCGACCTACTCTTGGTTCCCTAAAGGAGCTACAGATCCCACCCTGGTTGATGATTGATATCCTCGACACCCTAGAGTGAAGAACTCTGGTTGCTCTCGCACCCTCCGCAAGGAGGGCGGCCTCCTGTAAAGGTTGCTGTATAGAGAGCGGTGATGATCTCGTCCCTGATCGTGGTCTTGCCCTTGGGCGCACGGTCAGGGTGGGTGTCGATGGACGTCTGACAGGCCTGTTTTTTTCTCTTTTTCATTGCTTGCTGGAGCTGGTCTCTGGCAGTGAGGAAGAAGTTCCACTTATGACAATCCTGTGAAAAAATCGTGTAGCGGCGCCATTGCGGAATGGAATTCTGCTGAACGTTGTCGTCCGTACTGGATTCCATAGTGACGCGGTGATCGTGATACGCATTGAAAAATCTGCGTCGAAATGATTGCTTTGGCTGGTAAAGCTGCCCGAGAGGTCCAAATCAACTTTTCGTCGTGAGAATAACGGCACGCCTTTATCGCGGCCTTCTTCTTTCCGCAAAACGATTGCCTTGATGAACGGCAAGTTGAAAGCTAGGTACCTTAAATTTCAGGAAAGGCCTTCTCATCTGTTGTCGCCAGCCTCACTCTCCATGAGCATGCGTTCATCCAAATGAACCATCAAATTCCGAGCGTTGAATTTGCAGATGTCGTCTCGAATCTTCAGCCTCTTTTCGGAAAAATGAAATAAAATGTCTAGCCACTTGTGGCGTTTTGGATCGTGAACCATCAAGCGATAGCTGAAGTCCGGCAAGACAAGGGGGGCTGGGGAAAGAGCTGGGGACGCAGCAGACGCAGAAGGATCAGGTGCAGGGGTGTCCCAATGCAAGCGTCATTGCGCGTGGGAACTCCGGCAAGAGCTGAGTTTCGTTTCATCGCATCGTGATCAGCCGGCCGAACACACCTGCCGACGTCTTTCCATGCCCGTCTCACCTTTTTTTTCCCTCCCTTCTTGTCACCGATTTTCGCACCGGAAACTTATCCCAAGGTTCAGAAAGGGTCCTATCTACTCAAGCTCAAGCTCGGAGCTCCAGCTCTATCTAATTCCTTGTCTCCTACGCCTCGCATTACCTATCTCTTTGCGGCCCTTGCTACCGGCAGCCACGTGTCGATCATTGCTTGCTCCAGAGCTGAGCTCCCTCTCTCGAGAGACTCCACCAGACTCTCATCACATCCTCAGAAACAGAGACCAGAGGTCAAGATGCCGCCAGGTCAGCCGCTGTACGTTTTGTTTCTCCGCTTGTCTCACTGAGCTCTGGTTTCCTTCGCTCTCGGCCTACACACCGCATTCATCCCTACACCCACATACCTCGTATGTTACGCACACACAGCTGCTGCCACTACCACAGCCCCAAAGAACGCTACCTGTTTGAATCCGTTCCATCCCTTCAGCTGCATGAATTGCAGCACTAGTAAGCGCACTGGTCCGGAGCCCAGCCCAGCCAAGTGGTGGTGGTGGTGGTGGTGCTACAGGCGCAGATGTACCCTACTTGCGTACCAATGTTGCCTCCGCCAACTTGAGACTTTTTGTGCTCCCCTTCCTGAACCTGGGGCGGGGTGTCAGTCACAGAGACAAGGTGTGAGTTTGGCTTGCTGGAAGCATGTGCGAACCATTGTTCTCTTTCCCCAAATCGTCGTCCGTGGCTTGCGTCTGAAAATTCCCCTCTTCCTGCCCGCCGTCATTCCATCCTGGATAGAGAGCTGTTACCGGCCTCCCCGATTCTTCTTGCCGTATCTTTATATGCTACTGTAGCATTGTAAACCTGCGCCCTCGCGCGACAGACGTCCAGTGGCTTTGTTCAGGAACATCCACAAACCTCCCATTTCCCAACGTTCATCCTCGTATCTCTTGCATAATGTCCCGACGACCACCGTCGCTGGAATCAATAGGCTCTCGTGGCTCCGTGGGCTCTCCTATTGACCCAAGGTTTAGGAAGAAGGTTGCCGTCGTCGGCAGTGGAGCCGCCGGTATCGCGGCTCTCTGGGCTCTCAACCGAAGCTACCATGACGTTTATATGTACGAGGCCTCATCAAGGCTAGGAGGACACACAAATACGGTGACTTGGAAGAACGGCAAATATGAGACTCGCGTCGACACCGGCTTTATCGTCCTCAACACCGCCACATATCGTAGGTCCTCTACATCAGCCATCATGAGCCTCTGACTTACATGAAGCTCAGCAAACTTTATCAACTTCTTGAAGAGGGTCAAGGTGGACACCGTCCCGACCGAGATGACATTTGGCGTCACTCGTGACCATGGCTTATTCGAATGGGCTGGTAAAAGTCTAGATTCCATCTTCGCTCAGAGGAAAAACATCTTCTCGCCGCGGATGTGGAGGATGATCTTCGACATCATTCGTTTCAACCAATTTGCACTGGACTTGTTGATGGCGGAGGATGAGAACGATGCCGCTGCGATGAACGGATATAGCAAAGGAGGCAAGAGAGAGGAAACGATCGGCGAGTACCTCGAGAGAGAAGGCTACTCAGATGCATTCAGGGACGACTACCTAATTCCTATGACCGCCGCCGTATGGAGCACAAGCCCGGATAAGTGCACGTTGAACTTCCCAGCTGTCACTCTGGTTCGCTTCATGTGAGTATCATTGTCCGCGATCGAGGCGTAGTACTAATAGAGGCTAGGTGGAACCATCATCTCCTGTCAACGGTTGCGACAAGACCGGAGTGGCTCACATTGAAAAAGTGCGGCAAATCCTACATTGATGCTGTCATGAGTGGATTCCCGTCAAATCACCTTTTCCTTAACACGCAGGTCACTCAAGTCACCAGCGAGGAGGACGGCAGAGTTCGTGTTCACACCCACAACGGCAAGTCCGACGTTTACGACCATGTTATCTTGGCGACGCACGGAGACCAGGCCTTGAGAATTATCGAGGGATCAGCCACGCCTGAGGAGAAGGAGATTCTTTCCGCTTTCCAAACTTCCGAGAACTCGGTCATCCTCCATTCCGATATTTCACACATGCCAGCGTCTGAGAAGGCATGGTCTAGTTGGAATTACCTGACCCTGTCATCGCCCTCCACTGGCAAGCAGAACATCGACCAGGTTTCGTTGACCTACAACATGAACATCATTCAGCATATCCCCAGGGAGACCTTCGGAGACGTCCTCGTCACGATGAACCCCTTGCACCAGCCGAACCCAGACACGATCCAGGCGTCATTCACATACCGTCATCCTCTCTACACACCTGCCGCCGTCCGAGCACAGAAGCTTCTTCCACGCATCCAGAACAAGAGGGGTATCAGTTACGCGGGGGCCTGGACAAAGTACGGTTTCCATGAGGATGCCTTCAGCAGTGGTCTACATGCCGCACAGGACCACCTCTATGCCAAACTCCCATTCCAATTTGTCGACTCTACGTATAGCCGAGGGAGGAAACCGTCTTTGGGGCTTGCCGACTTGCTGGTACGACTCGTCATCCTTTTGATTCAGGTGTTTGTCATTAGAGTACTGGAGAGAGCGGCAGGCGCAGCTGAGACTGCAATTTATGGGCGTCGAAATGGGTGGAGGAGGTCTTTGAAGAGTGGCAAAGCTGCCTGAACCGGCGCGATGGCACTTGGCGTTAAACTGCTTCGTATGGCTTGACGAGATCAACAACATCAAGCCGGTGGAAATAATAGTAAATAATCAACAAAACATCTAATACTAAGGCAAACCCTATGGACTGCAGCATTCACCCATTCTCGTTGACGTTGAAATTCCTTACGGCATCCAACTGCATTAGGTTGTTATTGCTCATTAAACAGGGGCTCTTCAGCGGGAATAGAGTGCAGAGACCCCTATAAGCCAGCCAACCAATGCCCGGGGGCGGAACAACCACCCCGCCCGTCCCGGCCTCTCGGGGACCGCCCGCTGCCAGCAAGCTAGAGCTAGGTCGGTTCCCCAAATCCCGATGAAATGCGAAATGGCATGACATCGTCGAACGATTCGGCGCAACATTCCCGGCAACCACCTCACGGTCTCAACCCTCAACTTTCGCCCCCGCGTTCGCGACCATGAACGCCCTCCCGCGCCTCCCGTGGCGCATATCCTCGCAGTCGACACAGAAATGGAGCTGCTTCTTCTGCCAGCACGCCGTCCGTCCAGCGCCGCGCAACCTGCGGATGCCCCCAGCCGGCCGCCGAGCGGCATCGACGACGCCTTCGCCGAAGCAGCAGCAAAACGGGCCCAGCTTCGGCGGTGCGCCTTCAATGGAGCAGATCCATGCGCACTATAAACGCAAGAATGCTACGACAGCGTAAGAGAGCAATTGGTATTGAGACTCAAGAGTACCGTTGGGCTAAAGTGGTTTTGCGATCCAGGTACTACACACTCAGCGTCATTCTCGGGACAGTCGCCCTGTCTTACGGCTCCGTGCCTCTCTACAAGATGGTGCGCTTCTTTTCCTCCCTCCCGACCCTCAGCGACCCCTTCAATACGAGGAGAAACATTGCAGACGGCTAACCCATACTCTTCAACCCCTCCACAGATCTGCCAAACAACAGGCTGGGGCGGCCAACCCGTCCGCGCCCACGGCCCGGACGTGGACTACAGCGAAGACGGCCTCGCCGCGCGCCTCGTCCCCGTGACGACGGCCCCGCGCATCCGCGTCACCTTCAACTCGTCCGTCTCGGACATCCTCCCCTGGAAGTTCACCCCGCAGCAGCGCGAGGTGCGCGTGCTCCCCGGCGAGACGGCGCTGGCCTTTTACACGGCGACGAACAACTCGGACCAGGACATTATCGGTGTCGCAACCTACAGCGTCACACCCGGTCAGGTGGCGCCGTACTTCAGCAAGATTCAGTGCTTCTGCTTCGAGGAGCAGAGGTTGAATGCGGGCGAGACAGTGGATATGCCGGTTTTCTTTTATTTGGATCCGGATATTGTGAATGATGTGAATATGCGTGGTATTGAGACTGTGACGTTGAATTATACGTTCTTCAGTAAGTTTTGCTCTCTGCTGCTTCTTCTCTTGTCGTTCTTCTGCGGGAGATTGGGGGATGAGGATAGTAGGTGATTGGGTCGCTGACCGCGTGATTACAGAGGCCAAGTACGACGACAACGGCAAGTTCAAGGCGCCTACGCCGTTTGCGAGCAACTAAAAAGAGCAGTCCATGTTCACTATTCACGGACGAGACGCTCTACATCTACACACCATACACACCATGTTCCCCACTCTGACGACGTGTTCTACCTCAAATCCTACTTGTATAAAAAGGCCCCTCTAGACCTCGTTGGTCAAGCTTGTACAACTACTACTGTATACCCCATTGGGGGAGAGCATACCACCAGGCGTTGAAAAGAGCTATTGTATTCTCATGACTGTGGTAAAGGCGGCATATAGATCTATTGTACATTGTTCATTCTTCACTGGCTCGCTACTGTCACCTGGTGATGAAGAAGTATCTGTACAGAATAATGTTTAGTGAGTGAGGTACCTATTCAGAGAAACCTCGCTCACTACCTCACATGAGATAAAAGGGGGGAAGTATCAATGCCTCAATTCCGCACTAGAACGGCCTGGCATTAGTCTAGAACAAGAGACAATGGTTCTTGATGCCTGGGCTAGAGATATAGGTACTCCCAGATTTGTTCACTATGGTCATCAGTTGGAGGGAAAGTAACAGGAAGCTTGAGTACTTGAAAGCCCTCATTTCTGACCACGTGTAACATCGTCAAATTATGTCTTTTCGGGCCTGCCGATGCCTTTTGCTTTTGTTGCAAACCTTCTACGCAATTTCCCCCTACCTTACCATGAGCATCGCGGAAGATATCTCTCACGGCTCCTCAGAGATGCGCCTTATCTTATCAGCAACACCGCGGAATCCCGGTCTCGGCCGATTGAGCTCCAAGTCCGCCCGGCCTTTGAACTTTTTCCTCTCCTGCAGCCCGGCAGGAGCTAGGACCACCTCACCAGTGTGATTTTTTCAACCAAGACCTAAGTCACGTGGGTCTCTCCAATTTGCAGCCCACAACGGCCGAACCACCCCATCCTGCCAAAACTTTTTTTTCGCTGGACGTGCTTCTACTTGCTCGACTTTTCTCTGCGACGCCCAACCTCACCGAAATTCCCTTTCCAACCAAACGACGTTTGTACTAACGCAGCCAAGATGACCAAGGTTAACCAGAGTGAGTGTTCTTCTTAACGTTTTTGATGATGGTAATTGAGACGGTTTACTGACTTTGCTGCGAAACAGACATCTCCTCCTCCCGCCGCAAGTCGCGCGCGGCTCACTTCGGTGCCCCCTCCAGCACCCGTCGTGTCATCATGAGCGCCCCTCTCTCCAAGGAGCTCCGCGAGAAGTACAACGTACGTCTTCACTCTCACGGTTTTCAATCCTACTCGAGACTCTTTTGTTCTAACACCCCAAAAGGTCCGCTCCATCCCCGTCCGCAAGGACGACGAGGTCACCATCGTCCGTGGCGCCAACAAGGGCCGCGAGGGCAAGGTCACCTCCGTCTACCGCCTCAAGTACGTCATCCACGTCGAGCGCGTCACCCGCGAGAAGACCTCCGGCCAGTCCGTCCCCCTCGGCATCCACCCCTCCAACGTCGTCATCAACAAGCTCAAGCTCGACAAGGACCGCGAGTCCATCCTTGAGCGCACCAAGATCGGCCGCGAGCTCCGCGTCAAGTCCAAGGCTACCGCCTAAATCTCTTCTTCCAACTCTTCTTTCGGTCTCAATCGTCATGAATCAATGACTTCCTTCTCCTTCTCAAGTGACGGGGGCTTGGTTACAACAATCGAGCCTTCACTCACGACGGGTTGGAGGAGCTAAACGACCAAACATCCAAAAGCGGCAGTTCAAGGGAACCGGTACAATCTTCAATAAAACGGCGGCGGCGGGACATGACAACGATATCCACATCTTCGACGGCGTTCTTCACGACAGGACCTATTGACGCGTTTTGGCAATGGCAGATAACCACATCTTGCCTGGAAAGGGAAAAGAAAAGCACGAGGGAAACAAGGCTAAAAAGGCAACAAAAAGTTCTAGAAAATGAAATCGAGAAATTTCGTTTTCTCAATGGCCACCTCACGTCTTCAAACCCGTGAGATGCTCCATGGGAGGTCCTCCCGAAGCCACCACCGTCCCCTTCCGCCCTAGGGAGGCGGTGATGTCTCTTGCTACATCATCCCGTGACCATGCTAACCTATCTGTTGCTGTTGACTGGCAAGAACACGAGTTCCCCTACATGAATTTGGAACGTTCTTCAACGGTAGGTCGCACATGTGACTGTATAAATCCCGCTAGGATATCTCCGCGTTAACTACAAATCCATGGTTTTCGAGGTATACGACTGGCGAAGAGTAACCCCCGGAAGAGGTGGAATCACCGCCTCTCCACTCGCCCGAAGATTTTCACTGAGCTTTGTCCATGAGGCTGGGAATTTGATGGTGAGATACATGATATCTCCTGTTCAGCTTTTTATGCTCAGTTAGCAGTTTCTCAATATATCAAGAATGTTTAAGCATCACACATGACTAAAACACATCGAAATGTCACCTCACTAATGTGAAAAACAGTGTGTGAACCGTGTGTGAACTGGGATCATTAATGCTAACATAACCTGACTAATTCGGTCTTCATGAACCATGCAATCAATCCTCCACCTTCCTTTTAGAGAGTACTGTACCAAGGCCGAGTTGCACAAGCTGTGTATTGAGAATCACTTTCTCAAAACATGACGCCGACGGCTCCTGAATACTCGGAATCGATGCCTTGATATTGGAAGCCGCCATAGCACTGAGTGTCTCAAAATAATCCGTACAAGTGTTTAAAACGCGTTTTCGTAACCATAGTAGAGTAAGAAGATGCCAATGGCGTTGTGGCCAAGATGCTTCACTTGATTCGCTAGAGTTATTCAGTCAGCTTTACCACCATTACGAGCCCAGTCAGTGGACTTTACTCACAATGGAAAGGCCGGGAGGTTGATTCTCAACGCGACCATCAGCCGATGCGACAAGCAAGCTCTGACCAGCATCTAGTTTGCCGTTGTCATTCAGCTTGGAAGGTGACAGGCGGGTAGACTGGTTTGCAGTGTTGGCGATGGCGGGCGACAAGGAGGCTGCGGCATGGCCGATGGCATACTGGGGAAGATAGCCTTGGGCATTCTCCGAAGTGACAGCTCCCGGAAGAGCAGTCGCAGACGCGGTGACTTTCTCCGACCAAGTACGAACGCTGCTGTCAAGTTAGTAAGTATGATGCATGAAGCTTGGTGAAGGTTGCAACTGACCACGAGTTGAAGTAGGCTCTCTCGGAGTCGGACTCGATGGCGTTGTCCGACGAGATCGTGCTGTCCTTCGATTTGTCAAGGCCTTGGCTGTTGAAGTGGGCAACAGGGCGAGACTTGTTGCGGCGCTTCATGGGCGAGGTGATGTTGTCTGACTTGGTGTCTCTCTTCAGCTCCTTCACTGCTTGCTCCATGTTTGGGCCGGTCAGTCTCTCCAAGGCGGCAAAAGGATTCTTGTCCCCCTTGATCGCGCGGCGATACTTTTCCTCGAGCCGTGCAGCTGAGCGTCCATCGCTGACTTCGCGATTAGGTGGCTTCTCGGGCGACGGCAAATAGAAGCTCCTACCGTCGAAGAAGGGGAAGTTGACTCGAAGGTGTGCAGGTGCATTGCTCCAGAAGAGATGCTTGGCCATCTCCTCCTCCTGGTTGAGAGGGCGGTGGTAGACGTAATCTTTGATATCAGGACTGGGATCCATGCCGAAAGGCACCTGGCCAACCAGGTACGCCCTTGTCAACTCAGGATTCTCACGAATAATCCTCTCGAATTTCTCGTCAAGACCGGGCGTGAGAGGGGCGCCTGAGAAGAGACGATCAGACTCTTCCTTGTTTCTCGGCAGGATACCACGGAAAACATTGTCGCCAGCCTCCTTGTCTGCCTTGGGCACAGCCGAGACAGGAGGAGTGTTCTCGTTAGAACGGCGAAGGTCAGAGCGAGGCTGGAAAACCGGCGCCAAAGCAGCAGAGACAGGAAGACCGGTAGATTGTTTACGGAAGTGGAGTGAGTCGAATTCTCTGGTCTGATGATGTCCCTTAGGGTCGAAGGGAACAGGTGAGATGGTCGCGAATACGGTGGAATTGATGTATGGAGCAGACGCCGCCGAAGTGTCCACGGCAAGCTTGAGCTTGTCTCTCTTACGATGGCGAGGGTTCTTGGGCATCTCGGTCACATTCGAACGAGTGATGTAAGCTGGGTCGTTCTTGGTATCTGCATCGCCTGAAGAGTCAGACATGAGCGTCTTCCGAGACTCGGCAGCGGCCGGCTTTGACTCCTTCGATGTCTTAACCTCACTGGCGTCCTTTGCGTCGCTGCGCTGAGAAAGAGTGCTGTCCTCGAGTGCGAGTTCACCCTTGAGCTTGATCTCGAAGTGCTCGATGTCGGAACGAAGCTGACGGGCGTACTCTTCCATATGCTTCTCATCGATCTGGTGGCGATTGTAAGCCAACTGGGCCTCTGCTTTCTTGAGACTGGACCGCAGGCCTGCAAGCTGGTTCTTGGTGATGATGCTAGGTCGAATGGATGAAACTGGGCAACTCTCGACCGGCGCATTGGGGGTGAAGGACCTGGCGCCTACCGTAGGCATAGGCTGAGGAGGTTGCTGATACATCATGGGCTGGCCCATCGTTTGGCCCATCGGCTGGCCCATTGGACCAAACGCCATGGGCATCATTGGAGCTCCAGAGTACGTTGGACCACTAGCGTATTGCATACCCATCGGCATCATTGGATGAGGTGGGAGGAACCATTGCCCACCAAACGGAGGCATGGGCATAGCTCCAGTGTTGGGGACGACGCCACTGTTCTGATCTTTCTTCTCATTCGCATTGCCGACAGGAATCATGCCGCTATTCAGAGGGGCAAACTGTGCTTGCGCCGGAGCCTGGGCAACGCTGAAAGGGGGCATCGCAAATCCGCTGAAAGAGACCATGGGGTTCGGGCTTGGTGCCATCATTGGGAAGGTAGTTTGCATGGCCGGATGAACAGGGCCCATCAGGGGGGGTCCTGGCATGAACTGGCTGTTGAAGGCTTGTCCCAAGGAAGGCTGTACACCATTGATGTCCATGCTGATTCTCTCTCTGCTGCTCTTTCCGGTAGGAGAAGAGTGGGAACCATCCAGGGTATTGGGGACAATTCTGCCTCCGGCAGTGACGCGGACGTGAGTGGGAGACCGGACGGCTTCGTAGAACTGCTCAAAACCCTTGCGCTTCTGGTCAGGGAGAACAGGTCGCTGAGAAGGCACTTCAGGCTGGAGTTCGGGCTCGGCATCTTGTCCATCGAGCTGTCGACCGGCGGGTCCATCAAGCTGACTGACGTCTGCAGTGACATGACGAAGTGTACGAACAGGTTTGTCACAGAGCTGAGCAGTGACTTGAGGTGCCTGAAGCTTGGCCGGTGCTTGATACTCCGAGTCACCGGAAGAGGACTGTCTGACCTCCATGTTGGCACGAGAGACTAGAGGAGCTCTCTGGTGGGAAAGGGGTCGCTTGTGACGAATGATGCCTGCTGTGGAAGAGGTTAGCAGTGTCATGGGCCTGGAAGGCCGGAAAGGGGAGGATAGCGCACTCAAGATAGGGTTCTCTTTGGCATTCTCAAGCAGCCTCTGCTCGAGCAAGCATTGCAGCTTGGTGCCACGGATGGCCAAGAGCTGGCTGATGCTGTAATGTTTCGATTCCATCGAATTGGTCTCCACAAGCATGTCAAGGAGACTAGGAGCTTGGAGCAAGTGAGGTCGTTCACTATCGACGTACGATTAGCCGGGCGCCGATTGGACGCGGGAAACGACGTAGCCAGGTGTGAGAAAATTGCTTGACACTGCTCAACTCCCCGTAAGCGCTGATTCCGAACTCTAGGTATTTTGCGTGAATCGCTTCTCAAAGTGATGATGAACAGCATTCGGGAAGTGGTTGGTCGGCAGTGATAGGGCAGTTCGTGATTGCGTCAATCTCGCTCGTCTGGGCAATAGAAAATTTGAAAAGAGAAATCGTCTGAAACCGAGAAACAGGAACAGTGACGTGAACGAAAAAACTTACCAGAGTCAACGGGGCGAAATCGCCGGTCGGCAAGCTTTGTGAGGGCTGATATGCAATATTAGAATCTGCTGGGTGGTTTCAGCACGACCAACCCGACAGAAACGAGTGCTGCACAAAGAGTTGGAGTTGGAGATGAATCGGTAGACTTCCAAAAGTTGGACGCCAGAGCAAAGTGAAGCTGAGTTGGCGATGGTGAGCTTGGATTGTGTGGTATGACAGAGGGAGGATCGAGGATCGACCGAGTGATGTTGTGGGGAGAGAAGAGAAGCAAAGTGAAATGTTGGGGAGAAGGAAAGGTCCTGGGCCGGTTTGGTCACTTATTGGAAGGCGAAGAGAAATTTTCGACAGGCAAGTTCTAGGCAAGATAGTGGTCTAGAAGTGGTGAGTTGGAGGGAAGGCGGTCACTCAGGTGCGTAGTGATGTGAAGGAAGGTGCGAAAAGGCTTTGCCTCTCAGCAAATAATATACCTGAGGAAGGAATTCCCTCCAGATGTAATGATGTTTCTGGCGGAAGATGGAAGTACAGACTGCAAGACGAGCAATTTCACTCATCTGTGAGCATGTAAGACTGAACAACGCTCTTTCAGGGAACTTCAATACATATCAAACCTTCGCATGGGCAACTTGTAGATGTGAAGTTCACATAACACAGACCACAAGTACTTGTCGACAATAATTCATGTAAGAATTGAGTGAGGGTGCGAAATCCCTCGTGTCCCATCGTATAAGGTATGAAAACCAGGTGTTATATCTTTCTCTCAGGCGATGCCCATCTCTCATCCTGAAGACTGCACTCATGCATTATCCATATCTTTCATTACCCTATTGATTTTGCCTAAACCATTCACCACTCTTTCATTATTATGGCCTTCCACAATGACTTCCTGCCTGGTCAGTAAAATATTCTTTGTTGTTCTGTAATGTACTGAGTAAGGTATGTTGACGGCAAGCCCAAGTCAAAGGCAGTTCCTGAGCAGTATGGATCACGGAGAATGAGTGCCTATGAAGTAGGTTCCGTGCAGTGCACAAAAGTGTGGACGTGAGGAAGCTACAAGTGTCATTGTATTACAACGTTGCTTTGGGACACAGCACTGTCCTTCTCGGTTCCTATCGTATGTGCGAGCCTAAGGCAAGGTACCTTCGTGTTTTCTCTCCTACCACCTTCCCAATTCTCCCAAACCATTTGATCCATTAAAGCTGAACATCGCTCCTTCAATTCCCAGGACAAAAGAGACTGCTATCCATATCCGGTGACGTTTTACAACGTTGGCTGACATTCTCGATGTGGGAAGAGAAGCCAAGCTTCAACACCCCCAGAGGCCCAAGAACCTGCCAAACCTCCATTCCAAGGAAACGGTCGCGACTCCAATGAGCCTCCTCCGCTGCTATTCCGCATTTCTATCGATGACCCTCCCAATCTGAAGCATCTGAAACGGTTTTGCGATGCTATAGAGAGCTTGATGTCCACCACTGAAGCTCCTAATGGAGGTCCGTGGTACCCTTTCTACGGGAAAAGGAAAACCGCGCGGTCCAATCGATCATCAAATCAGAGCGCCAAGATGAGTTTGTGAGGCTGTTTGGACGGTGGATTGACGAAGGAACTGTCCCCATCCTTTTCGCTCCAAGGCACTCGTTGCTGAAATCCTCAGCGACTATGTACAACTACTGTCGTCTACCAGAATGTTGAGACAGGAGCTGATCATTCATACGAGTGAAGGTGTCTGAATATTCGACCTTGATATCCAAAGTTTGGATGTCGTTCTAGATTCAGGATCGCCGCCGGTCATCTGGGTTATCGGGGACAGGTACTGGAGGGTCAGGCTGAGGCTTGGGATGCGGCTTGTTGTTCTCTTCCATGAGAGAAATACTCCACGTCGATCGCATCTTTATGTCGATGTTTTGGATAGGATGGTACAGTCCTCTTGCTCAGAGTTTCCGATCAATTCGTACCGTTGTCAGAATGCTAACGTGTGTCTAGAAGAGTAGGGCTGGCCAAACGAGGCAATGAATTTAAATTAGGATGGTACTGTCGGCAGTTCAGAGGGACGAAACCTGAATGATCATAATGACAGAGACGAGCTAGAGAGGACTCAAGAAAACGGACGGACGCCCGACAATTTACATCTTTTCGAAAAGCTTCCTTCGGGGCCTGCCTCGCCTTGCTATACCTACCACCCCGCCCCACCCTCATGAGCCCAAGGCGCTCGAGCGGCGGGATGGGTTGGGTGCGGAGCACGCAAGCCCATTCGAGGACCTCCCAGGTGACTCAAAGACAGGGACATGATTACATGGTCTTGGTTCTCCTATAGGAGTGTTTGCCGAAGGGGGAGCACGTGGCTTTGAGCAATGAAACCCCTTGATAGTTTGATCAACGGGAGGAAGAACGAGAAGAACGTACATCAACGGGCGGCGGCAACGGGCGCCTCCCAAAATGCCCCTCAGTGTTCTGCCGATATGACAGGCCCGTCCTGAAGTCTACCGATGGCGCACAGGCTCTCCTCTGTCACACTTTCTTTTTATATACCAGGGAATTATCACGGAAAATCATGGGCAGGGGCAGGGATACAAACCCTGCTTGGCCCGTCCAGCTGACGACGATGACAAAACACGAGACCGAATATTGGGAGACAGCGGAACACAAGATATTCAGGGCAGTCCGGGTGGCGTGTCGGCGTGAGTGTTGCCGCGTATTGAGGCTGCGCGTGTGCTATCTCCGTAGTCCTCCTATCGCCAGCGACACGCAGGTCGGTAAGATTCCTGCTCAACAAGGGCATTCAGGGAACACGTCCCGGCCTAGCCGTCAAAGTTGGTTGGGTTCGTTCGGTGAGCGGCAGATCGACTTGTGCGGGGTCCTCGCACATTGGGCTTCGACAGGGAAGGTCTCGAAGAACGGAGGGCAGTTCCGGACATTGGTCAGGATTGTACGGCTTTGACAGGTTGTTTCCCGCAACGCTGAGCCTTCTTGGTCGCCATCGCTGCCCCTCGACTGGAGCTTGTCACCAAGCTTTTGCGTCCTGAAACGACAGGGTCGTGAAAACGGTGACAGGGGTCCTAGCTGGGACTGTGCGGCCCGTGGAATGGATGACAACTACCTCAACAAGAAGACATGGGCTCACACAGCTTGAGCTTTGGAGGAAGCAAGATAGGACTGGGGCCACCCTTTGTTCGAGACTCGTTTGGGGTTGCGTTGTGTAAAGCAAAGGGTGGAATATCGCGTGTCCCTTGCTGTAGTAGGACCAGAACCGATGCGGCGGGTCTTGCATCCGGAAGTTGGTCCGAGAGCCACAACCCGCGGCCCCGTCCCGGTAGCTAGGCCCGGCCACAGGCCGCCCGTGAGCGTCGCAGGCCTCCCGATCATGGCTGTCACGTCCCGCCTTCATCTCTGTGCATCTTCAGGAATGTGAAATTTCCTATTGCAGCCTGAAAACCGATCACACCATCTGATCTGTGGCACAAGAAGAGCTCCTCTTCTGCATGACATCAGCCCAATTTGGAGAAAAACAAGCTGCGGTCTGATGATTGTGGCTGATCAACAATAAGCGGCCGTGCCATTGAAGCATGCGAGCGCGGGATGTCAGGACGGCCCGAGCAACGGACGTTTGCAACCGTCGTATGTGTTTGGCGTTTAATCCCTGGTATGGGCCTTTAATCCATCGAGATTGCTTACAAAGCCGCAGTTGAAAAGCATCCTAATCAATGCCATTGGAACCATTGCCGAGAGAATTGAGACCATTGTCGACAGCAAATAGGGAATCAAGAAGGCCACTACAGCTTGAGCTGAGGCTTCGAAGCCGCGCTCCTTGCACCGCCAAACTGCTCCCCACGGAGCTTTCCAACCGGCGAGAACACGATGTCGACCGGGCAGGATCGGACACTCTGAATTCAAAAGCTTGTATTGTTATTGGGGGACTAGAGACACCCAAGACCAGAAGATTGCAGTAAACGAACGGACTTGCGGGAGTGACATCAACGGTCAGACAAAGTCAAAAACAGCCCAGATCTTCACAAATAAAATGTTACAGCCAAGTTTACGGCGACTTGGGTTCAGCGTTCCTAGAGCACGAAACAACAAATTTGCGGGAACAAACACGTATCCATATAATTGCTGGGTTCTGGTGTACAGCGTGCGGAACGCCGCATTGCGTACCTCAACTCACCCATCGACGATGCCCACGCTTCAGCCTCGGTCATCGGGCGAAAGCACCGAGGAACAAGGAGGACAATAATAGGGGCTGGACCGGCTGTGGCAGGCCGGAACGAAAAAACCCCCCAAACCCCCACACTGGAACCCGTTCGAAGATTCCCAGAGTGACAGAGTGTGGACTTGTTTTCGCCAGAAAGTTGTCGACTTGTCTGTCAAAAGAGGGGCAGAGTCACGCAAATGAGGGGTACTCGGAGCACCCGTGGCACCCTCAACCTCATCATGGGAGAGACGAACGGTGAACCCCCAATCCTCCAAGCCACCCCGTACCGGCCCTGTATCATGACTTGCAGCTAGACTAGTCGAAGACTAGCCGATCCATGTATTCCGCACTCTTTCTGCACCGTCAGGGGCTCAGGATGGACCGTCTTTGACCGGATTCGTCGGCGAACCTCCAGCCATTGGTCAGGCGGTGGATGAGCCTCTCTTTTACCGCAACAACCGGACGGGCGCCGGGGACGACCTGCACTGTTTGGACGGGATTCCACAAGTGTAATATGCACTTGCTGAATTGGCTTCTCTCATCGTCCATCCATTGCCCCGCAACCCTTGCCTGCAGGAGCATTGCGGAACGACGGTCCCCCGCAATTGGAATGCACAAGAGGAAATGCATGTGAGGCGGGCGACAATATGAGCGATCCAGAGACAATTGAGCTCCCCGACTGGCTACACCAGCTAGACTGCCGCCTGTGAAACCTTGGACAATCTTGGACAACCTAGGACACCCGTGGAACAGCTCGGCACATGTTGATGTCAGATGGTTTACCCCTCCTCTTGTACAAGAGATGAGGGTATTCCGTATGGTCACTTCGGCCTGAACTCTGGTCTTCCTCTTCTCCAACCTCTCTCCCGTCTTCCATCCATACTTTTCAAATACCAAACCCCTTTGCCTGTATTATCTGTACTAAACATCAACTCTAACGAAAGACCCTTTCTCATTTCCTGTTCAATTCCCACAATCCGAATCCTGACCCACGTTAGTCTAACTCCCTTCCAATTTCAACATGTGACAGCAAGCTGACCCAGCAAAAAAGGAAAGAGTCCAACCACAACCCGTTCCAGGATTTAGACGAGACGACGACGACGACCGCGACACCGCCAACCTCGACCCGGAAATTCTTACAATGGCACCACTTACGCCCCATTGGACCCAGCCGTCCCACCCGGACATCCAGGATATCGTCAAGGCGAGCGAGACAGAGTTCCTCACCAAGAGCTTCTCCAAGGTCTCTCTGCCGCCTTTTGCAGTTTACGCAAAAATGTCCTTCCCACCGTGCGATCTGGCCGACGAGCCAACCTATGCCACCGTTCAGTGCGGCAAGGCTAAGCACTTGAACCTCAACAGTGACTTGCTGTACATTAACCACTCGTGCGAACCGTCTCTTGTTAGTCATGCCGCTAAGAAAGCACAAATGTCTACTTCCAAGTCCCCCCAGAACCTACCCCGGGTCGGGGACAGGGACATCCTGGAAGACGTGAGATTGACAGGTGCTATTAATAGATTTTTGACACGGGCAACTTTAATGTTCTGGCTGGGCCGAAAGGACTTCAGCCCGGCGATGAACTGACGGTGAGTTGTCACATTTCACCCACCGACTCCGGGCAACCTTTGGGCCCGGGGGGGGGGGGGGGGGTTTCTACTGTCTCTGAGACTTGGAGAGAGCAATCGGGAAAAGCATCCATTAACGTCGTGTGTCACCCAGTTCTTCTACCCCTCCACGGAATGGCACATGGCCCAGCCGTTCGATTGCTTCTGCGGCACCCCCTCGTGCCGTGGCAAGATCGGCGGCGCACGCGACATGTCCCGCGCCCAGCTGGAGGGTCTCTGGCTCAACGGCCACATCCGCGAGCTCCTTGAGGAGCGCGACTCAGGGGCTCGCTCTGAGAACGACGACCCCACGGCCCAGGCGCTGAGAGATGCCCTGAAGGCCGCCGAGCGCGTCGTCGAGGCAGCCCGCTCTGCCCTGAGGAGCTACACCGAGTCCACCACCGGCAACAGCAACGGGACCCAGCAGCAACAGCATCAGCAGACGGCCAAGAACGGCGTCAATGGTTCCAAGGCCGGTCGTAACGGCGCTAGTGCCAGGGAGTTGGGAGGCGAGTTGGGCGGCGACACGCGCTCTGCGTAGAGGGATCGGGCTCTTGTTCTCTTTGCATTCCATCCATCCGTCCGTATGGGTTTTCCTTGAAATCAAAACGGTGATGGGGGGGCGGCTTTGGCTTGGCCCGTGACGTGTAGGAGGGACAACTCAACTTGTCTTCTTCGCACTCTTTTCTTTGCGTTGTTTTTTCCTACCCTTTTCATGCGATATTCAACATCTCGCTTTTTCTTCTAAATGCAACTACGATGCAAATAAGAGGTCCGGATGGGAACCTGAAGATGAAATGAGATGGCGGAGTTGAGAATCGTGGAAATTAGAATGGGGGGACAAGAAAAAACAGAGGGTGTTGGTGGAAGACATGGTGAGGTAGCCGTTATAAATATCATTCCTACAACCACATGTCTTGATAGCCGCGAATGTCACTATCGAGGCAAACACCATTTGGCCATTTCCCATGATCCTTTACCTGTTCTTTTCATCATGTTTCTTTGATTCTGGACTCTACACGGGAACGAACATAATTCTCTGAAACTCCAGATGCCCTCATACCAGACCCGTACAACCCGTTAGGAAAAAACAAGTACACCGCGAATACAGTCATACATAGTGTCACACGCCGATTCCCACGGCGTTTTATACTACAACAATCCGAGTAGCAGTTTTCTCTCAGGTAGAACCACCACTTTTTGTTTCAGTTTTTGACCCTTCTCGTGAAGACGTCATCCGTCCTTACTGCTTCTTATCCTTATCCATCCAGCGATCACCCCAGCTCGTACGGCGTCCCTTCTCAGTACCGACGCCGCCGACGTACTGGCTCTCGTTCTCCTCCCACTCCTTGCGCTCGACGATACGACGAGCCAGGAACGCACGCGCAAACTTCCACGACTCGGTGTCCGCCAGGTTCCACGCCTCGACGGCCCCACGGATAGAAAGCTCGCGCGCGTCCTTGGTCTTGCCCATATCGCGGGCTCTCTTGAGCAGGGGCTTCTCCTTATCGAGCTCCTCGGCGGTCGGGATGGGTCCGTCGGCGGGGTCGTGCTTGGGCTGCGGGCGGCGCTCGGGGCCGGGGACGGGGGTCTGCGACGTGCCGTCCGTGGCGTTGTGGGGGATGGCGAAGCCAAAGTGCCAGTCGAGGTCCTTGGGGAGGTCCTTTTCGGCCGTGAGCCAGAGGGAGTGGGCGGTCGCGAACTCGCCGGCGACGGCCTCCTTGAACTTGAGGACGCGCGGGGCGCTGCCGATGCCGACGCCAAGGAGCTCCGTGGTTACGGCGCCGAGCCAGGCATCGCGCTCGGATTTGCGGCGGAGCCAGGGGATCTCGATCGTGTCCTGGAGGTTGGCGAGGAGGGCGGTGGTGTAGGGGTGCGGCACGGTGCCGATGGTGTAGAGGGTCGAGGTGTTGCGGTAACGGGGAGGGGTCGAGACGTGCATGGGTTGCGCGGGGACGCAGGGCTTGCACTTGGGGTTGTTGGGCGGACAGGAGGACGGCATGGGCGAGTCGGGGCACGTGGAGAGGTCGCCGGCGAGGTCCCAGGCGTTCTTGATCAGGTTTGTCATGTGTTGAGGCAGAGGCTTGAGGACGGCTATGCCGTCTGAGAAGACGTTCTGCCAAGTCGTGTGCAGGTGGCCGTTGATGAGGTTCTTGAGGGCCTTGAGGCCGCCGGCACGGTCTGCGGCGATGGCCTCGCCGACCTTGGGGTACTTGTCCTGGATAACCGCAACGTCATAGTAGGCAATTGCCTTGGGGTAGTTGTCAATCTTGAAGGTGTCCTCGGTGGCAGCAGCGATGAAGTCCTTGGCCTCCTTGAGCTTGGAGCCGGCCATGGTAGCCTTGATGGCGTTTGTCACCTCCTTCTCGCCGCCGGCAAAGAGACCGTTGTTCAAGTTGTTCCAGCGGGTGAGCTCTGGGTACTCGCCACGGCGAAGGTAAGAGAGGAGGGGATCCTCGTGGGAGCCCATGGGCAGGGTGGTGTGGTAGGCGAGCAAGCCACCGCGCATGTTGTCCCAGGCCAGCCAGCGCATCAGGTCGGTCTTGAGTTCAGCGTCCATCTCCTTGCGCTGAAGCTCGTCGTAGAGCGGGTTCTTCATAGCCTCAGCAGCACTAAGGATGATGGGTTTGAAGCCGCGGGCCCACCATGCGCGGCGCCAAAGGAGAAGGAGCTCGCTCTCGGCATCCTTGCTTGCGGCGTCCTTCTTGATGGTGGTGTCGTAGTAGCAGTAGATGGCCGGGCGAGGCTTGAGGGGAGGCAGTAGAGAGCGCTCCTCGTCGAGGGTCAATGAGGAAGAGAAGGGCACAGAGAGCCACTTCCAATCCGCCCACCAGGAGGACTCGCCGTACGTATCATTTTGTTGACGCGGGGGCGGGTGTGATGGAGACTTGAAAGGGTTCAATCGGCTCGAGGCGCCGAATGGGTTCTTCAAGGCTGAGGGTATCGAGAACTTGTGGTCGGTGTACTTTGATAGGCTCGGGCCAGCGGGGATGGCGCTCGGGAGGGTGAAGATAAGGGAGAAGACGGCGAAGATGGAGATGCTGACGAGGAGGAAGGAGATGCGTCTTGCGCCGATGCGGGGGAGCGGCCGCCCAAATATCATGTGTTGCTTAGGCATGATGGGCGAGCTAGACGTAATCGACGATGAGGATTCGGGAATTCGGGGCCTTGAAGGGCCGTAGGCCGAGTGGGATGGATCAATTGAGGTTATCGTGGGTCGATGGAGTCGAGTCGAGTCGGTTCGGTTCGTAATGGTCGAGCTCAAGGGTATGACATGTGGACAGGGAGCTCCAACACCAAGCCAAGCCGAAGAACAGACACCTGGCTTGATAAATGAGAGGATGGAGATCAAATCGATCGGAACTACGATAAGGAAAGAAAAGTGCAAAAGCGGTTGAAGAAGAGGAATTGACCCTAAGCGAAAGGCGAAAGAAAGTTTAGTTTTCAAAAAGGGCCAGGGAGCTGCCCGTGTGAGAGGCGAAAGGTGAAGAACACGCGACAATCGTGGTTGAAGGTTCGTCGTCAATTCAGTGCTCCTCCTCCTTCATCCCTTTTTTTCCCTTTCCTATCTCTTTCTCGGGATTGGGGAGCTGACGAAGACACGGTCGGCACACGGCATAAGGCACAGCAAGGGGGAACCTGAAGGCAACAGCAGCACGGCAGGCATCAGCCAACCAACATGCCGTGCAAAAATGACATCCCGTCATCCCACCCTCCGATCCCCCCTGGAATTTCTGAACGCGTAACTTTACGTGAAGCAAGGATCCTAATGTGGCCGATAAGATAAGCATTGCTCGTGCCTTATCCGATAGCGATAACAAAGTGGCTAGAGCTTGTGGCGGGGCTAAATTGTCTCATTCGTCTACTTGCCATCTTCAATGTTCCAGGCATCGCGATGCTTCATCCACCCAATGTCTATTCTCATGCCCATGTATTTATTTAATCCGTAATGAGCGCTGTAGTATTCTTCAAATGAGTCAGCTGTTTGCAAACCATATGCTTTGTACAGACTCTTCGCGACCTCGACTACACGAAGTCTTGGCTGGCGCGTTCGTATTGCTGTAGCCCAGCGGCACAGCGTTCCTATTCTCAGCCAGCATCGTGTCTACCAACCATTCAATTAGCCTAAGAAGCGTTCATTTCATTGCAACGCTCTTTCTAGCACCCTTGCTAAAGTACATGCGTCTCAGGATTGATGCCTCAATCAGGCCTAGTCAAGGCAGACTCGAGATGAGTCGCAATGCCCCAAAGTCCCCTGAGCAAACGGCACAGTAATCGTTGGTTAAAATGCATATCATGAGGCGTTCGTTTCCTCTGGGAAGATCCTGTTCGGTTCTGTTGGTATTTTCTTCATCTCGCGTTATGTTGTGTCTCTGCCAGCTTTCGCTCAGCCGAGCGCTCTTTGGAATACTTTCTTTCACGATACTACCCGTCCAAGCTGCCTACTTCACCGAACCGCCAAGTTTTGAACTTGACCGAAGTGGTGGCCGTGTGACGGTCCCGGATCTCAACAGCACTTACGTGCTTGGACAAAAGGTTCACATTACATGGGAGGTCCCAACTGTGCCATGGATCTCTCTGAGTCTAGTGCACTGGGGACAGGATGCCGGCATAGCTGTAGCGTCTTTCATCAGTAAGGACGATGTTGCGAGGTGCTTCAACTTGGCAATACTAACTGAAACCTTGCAAAGCCAATGATAAAAACAATGGGTATTATACCTGGTACATTGGAGAAAAAGATGGCATCACGAAGGAGACCATAGCCACAAACCCCAACTTCGCTCTAAGACTCATCGACCCAACCGGCAATTACACTCAGACTGATGCGCCTGCGGGCTTCATTGGCAACGCACTGCAAAGTCGCGGCTTCGTCATCAAAGCGAACGCAACATCCGAGCCAGCGACGGAGTCGGCCGTCCCTTCAGCGGGCTCATCGAGCCTCTCCACCGGCGCCGTGGCCGGCATCGCGGTAGGATCCGCAGCGGTCGGAGCTCTGCTTGCAGCGGCTCTCTGTTTCTGGTTCCTGCGCCGACGCAACCGGCCGGCCTATGCTGCAAACACGGGAAACCTGGCTCGCCATCCCACGCCGACGCTCCATCCCGTTGTACACCAGCAGATGCGCCATGATTCGGCATACGCCAGCCCAAACTCGTCCGGCGACCACATGTTTGTGGTGCCGCCGGCACGTCAACTGTCGCATCAGACTAGTAATGTGAGTCCGATCAGCAGGCGGCAGACTCCTCCGCCGTCGTACCCGTCGCCTGTGGACGAGTACCAGAATCCGAGGACGGAGCTGTCTGGTGTCCGGGAGCCTCAAGAGGTGCCGGCGACGAACTCAAGGGGCCGATCAGAACTTTCGGGATCTCAGAGAGCTTGAACTAGTAGGGCGAGACATGGTGATTCTTTGCATGATGGGTGCGGACAGGGATTTCACCTTCAAGAGGACAGCAGCGACGATCTATGAGAGGAGCTAAATGGACGCGGGGGTTAGCAGCATACTAATGAGAGTTTCAATACAACATAGTCACTAATAGTAACTTAATTCTTTCCAGCTGCCAAGCTGCCAAGCTGTCCTCCAGCTAGTATAGTATAAAGGAGTGACAGTTGTCTAACCTCACGATTGAATGACTTGAGGAGACCAAGGGTTTTCGTTCAGATTTTGACCCTGGGTTTGCGAAGTAAAGACCTTTGTCGACAATGTGAATGCGATCATCTAAGATATCATAGAATCCCACCAGAATTCATTTCCCACTGATCATCACAAGAGCGATGCATTTTAGAAGTTGATTAATCCCACTTGCGAAGATACGCCCCTGACGTCGCCGCTCTTCAGTCTGAGTGTACTCCAAGGAACAGCCAACCTTTCAAATGGAATTCTTATCAGGATTATTCAGATCAAAAAGTCCACCCGAGTTAGCTAAATTCGTGACAGTGAAGAAACCTCTAAGTGACCAAAGACAATCAAGGTTGTTGAATGAGTCTAAGACAGGGGAGTAGACTCTAACTCCATCTCCATTACTCCGCACTCTGTTGCGCAGATGGTCAGCCCCATATTTGTTAGCGCAACTATGGCCCGTCTCCGAAGACGCTGGAAGTTCAATGACTCTGCAATTCAACCTCACCTCAACTTTCATAGCCAAAAACTCCGTACCTCGTCTCACCTCACTCATCGATACGACGACCCCGGTAAACCCTGCAATGACCGACGCCCAACCCGAGATGAAGATTGATCCCTCAAGAGCAAAGGCTCTGGTTTCGCAGCTTCAGTCTGTCCAGGAGCGCGTGACTGCCGTCGCTGCGGGGCGAAATGTGAGTCGTCACTCTGTATACTTCCCGGAAACGCTGTTGGGGAATCAGGGAGAATCTCTCTTCACAACGATGTGGAGTATGTTTTGTGCGAGATGGATGCTGATTCAGTGACAATAGGTTCGGTTAGTGGCAGTCTCAAAGCTGAAGCCAGCCAACGATATTTTGGCGCTGCACCAGCAGACCACACCGCCGCAGGTGCATTTCGGCGAAAACTACGCCCAGGAGCTGGGCCAGAAGGCGGAGATGCTGCCCAGGAGTATTCAGTGGCACTTTATCGGTGGTTTGCAGTCAAGTAAGTGTTTCCTCAAAGACTCATGCGCTCCTCGCCCTCCCCTACGTAGTTCTGAGGTAGCTGACGCTTTTCCAATAGCACATGCAAAGAAGCTGGCCAAGATCCCAAATCTCTTCTGCGTCTCCAGCGTAGATACCCTTAAAAAGGTCCAGCTCCTCAACGCCTCGCGCGCGGAGCTCATCTCTTCTTCATCAGGCGAAAGCCCCGTGGAGCCGCTCGGCGTGCACGTGCAGGTCAACACCTCGGGAGAGGAGTCCAAGTCCGGCGCCGAGCCGGGCCCGGATACGGTCGCGCTCTGCCGCGCCGTCGAGGAGGAGTCGCCCGCGCTCAAGCTGCTCGGCCTGATGACCATTGGCGCCATCGCGCGGAGCAAGGCGACGACGCCCGAGAACGAGAACGAGGACTTTGTGTGCCTCAAGGAGCAGCGGGATCTGGTTGTAAATGAGTTGGGCTTGCAGAGGGAGCTGGAGCTGAGTATGGGTATGAGTGAGGACTTTGAGGGCGCGGTGAAGTTGGGTAGTGGGGAGGTTCGGGTGGGAAGCACGATTTTTGGAGAGAGGGGGCCTAAGAGTGAGGCTAAGATTTTGGTCTAGTAGAGTTGGTGTGAAGAGTTTTGGATGTCGAATGACTGTTGGATGAGGCTGGATGAATGTGATGGAGAAAGTTGATACACATTGGCTGTGGGGAAGCGAGGTGAGTTCTGGGCCAGGAATGATGCGGTCTACAACCTGCCCCGAAGTAGTGTTCACACGTATTGATGACGATGATAGATATACAAACCAAGTCACTAGCGTTATGGCGTTCATCCGCCCCCTTTCTTCTAGTTTTACGACGTCTCAGTTGGTGATGCAACGAGCTATAGTTCGTGTGAACCATCCTCTCCAAGGGAGGCGAATAACTCCATAAGTCTGCTTCGAGTAGTAGCTGACTTGGAGAGAGGAGATGGATGTAGGCGCTTTGCACCATCTCCATTTTTACTCGTCCTCAAGCTTTCGGAGTACGCGGCCTCATTTTTCATATGACTCTGGAACTGTTCTTGCCCTCCACTCTCGCTCTTGATTGCTTTTCATCACTGCGAACGATTTTCCTAAGCATTTCTCTCCTCTCATTCATACAAGTTCTCCAGTGCCATACCGAGCAGCATGAACGCGCTAGATCCTCCAGACACATGCTAGGCTTGTCATTCACACGGCGTCAGGGAAGTCTCATGTTTGAGCCTCTGAGAATCAATAATCTGCCAAGCGGGCGGCTGAACAAGAGAAGCAGCACAATAGATAGGATTGAGGCTAGCTATGACACTCAGTCACCTCACGACAAGGAGACGGACAATAGTGGGGGGTAGGATTCATCCTGTGTTAGCGGGAAAGCGTGTTAGTACACCGAGGATCATTTTTTTTAATGGGTTTATATTGAGTATATAAACCCGAACGAACGAAGTAGAGTTGAACCGATCGGCCTAACTCAAAATGTAGGAACTCAAGCGAGAACCCAAGACCAGAACTCCTTTTAACGCCCTCCGACCTGTGGTGTCTTATTGCACCGGGTATATCATCCAAGGAGAATCCAAACTCCAGACAATGCTCCAGAAAGCATGGTGCCTTTTTTTCACCGGGCATTCATGCCGTCACTGCCCTCCCTTCTTTTTGGAGTGGCTTTCTCTCTCCAGTCCTCATACCAGAGAACCCCACACCCACAGACTCCCCGTTCCGAATACCTTCCTTCGCTTAAAGGTGTTGGGCAATGATCCCATCGACCTCATCTGCCAGGACTTTGTAGATGTAGTCCTGCATGTCCGTAACGAACACAGCGTTGATCTTGGCGTCGAAACTGGGGAGATCCGGATTGCTGTCGAATAGTTCGTCGGTCAAGCGGCAGCCATCACACCAGAGATAGTAGTCTTGTTGCGTGAGCATCACCATGAGCTTGGCCAGAGTGTTCGTCATTTGCTTGGCCTGCTGACCGACTTGTACCAAGCGACTTCGGTATCCCGGAAGCTGGTTCGTCGAAGGATCGCTTGTACGCAGGATATCCTGAATTCGCCAGGGCTCGATCGGGATGCCCCTTCTGCGGTGAACTTCAAGAGTTGCAGCGGCTCCAGCCGCGACTTGGCCGAGTTCTTCTGGCCCGTTACACTTCTGACGGAAGTGGTGGCAGATCTGAGCGAGCCTGACGAGATGGGCGTTGAGGGCAACACGAAGGCTCTCGTACTTGTCGATGGTGGTCTTGCTGGTGCGGCCATCTCTCCCGTCAATCTCGCACGCCGTTCCGCTCTTTTGGCACTTGGAACAGGCGTGGCCGGGGCTCCCGTCGCACTTTGTCTTCTTCCTGCGGCACGACTTGCAGGAGAAGGCCCTGACGGCGCGAGCAGGCTTGTCTGGCGTGGCCCCCTTTGGCCTGCGCGGGGCTTTGGCTTTGCCGTTGCCGTTGCCGTTGCCCTTTCCTCTTTTCTGGACTCTTGCGTCCTGATTGTTTGGGCCGAGGACGTCTCTAACGACATTGTCGTCGCCGAAATCCACGTCGAATTCCTGAGCGAATATGCTGTCGGCGGCGGGAGCTTCGGGCGCGAAGAAGGGCCCAGGAGGGACAGGGACAGGAGCGGGGAGAAGAGCAGGGTCAATTGAATATGGCATTTGCTCTTGGAAGTTAAATCCACCGCTGTTGCTGGCGTCCATGCCTCCTGCTGGGCCTGATTCATTGGCGTATACTCCGGCGCCTTGGACGATACCAGAGGTGACAGTCCCGTCCAAACCTTGTGGGGAGGTCGAATTAGACAGGCTGGAGACCATCTCGCTGAATTGGTTTTGGATATCCTCGCTCTCCCAATCAATGTCAATGTCTTGGGAGTTATGAGGCACGACCTCGGTAAGACTTTCGTCCCAGACGTGAGTGACCGGGTAGTACGCCGGATTCATCTGGTAGTCCTGGGGATTCATCTGGTAGTCCTGGGGATTCATCTGGTATTCCTGGGAATTCATCGTGTTTGTTGGTTGTAATGAGTATATGATGAGAGGAGTTGTAGTTCAATTGGATTGATGAATGTATGCCAGATGAACTGTAGTGTGATGAAGACTAGAGAAGCTGACAACCACAAGACAGAGGAATGCTTGGCACTTTATAGGAGACAGGAAGAAGCAGAAGCTACAGAGGTTCACGATGCTCCCGCACCCCGGGAAGCATAATTTGGAGAGGATGTATCTCCGGCGATGTCTTTTTGGCTAATGTACACGTCCATGAAGCAAAATGGCGGCAAGTAGAGGGGTTCAGGAGTGTAAAACAGCCACTCGGTGACTGAATTCTGGAGGCAAATACCCGGGCGTCCAGGCACAGGAAACATAGTTCGGAGTGGGAGCGGTAACCCCGAAGACATTTCTGTCCGGGTAAGTGTTCTGGGCATAAGTCTTTTGAGGTACCAAAGAATGGTAAGAGGGGATTGGGCACGGTCTGAGGAGTCTGGTGGCGAGTAGAGCAATTGACGCGGAGATAGAGGGAGTTGAGAATGTGAGGCTTGAGGATTCGAGAGCTTGAGGATTACGGACATTGCGGTTCGTTGAGGGAGGTGTACACGACTTCAGAGCATTGGATATATTTCTTGTTAGTATAGAGATGCCATTGCTAGATGCTGAAACACAACGGTATTAATTGATTCTCTGTTCTGCCAACTTGGACGAGATTCATTGCACTTTTATTCGTTGCAATACCAATTTCAAGACCATGGATTGACATCAGTCACACAGGAGTGGGCGATGGTCGAGGCAATGAGCATCCGGACTGCCCGC